TCAACCCACAAATAAAACCTAATCAACCAACCAACCAACCAAACAATCCAACAAACAAAAGAAACCAACAACGAAAAACAAACAAACAACCACAAATATACACAGTCATTAAGCAACCTCTGCAGCATACCAACGTCATCGATGAGAGCCAGGTGTTTCAGGCAAATGGACCATTATCTCATATCCTTTCCAATACCTACGACATGTGGTATTCAAGTATTCAAGCATTCCCTGCCTCTCGAAATGGAAATTTGCCCCACCCCTTCCCTTCCAGGATCTGCAACTGATGGTTCAGCTATTCATTTCACATTATACTTTGACATCAGCAAACTCTTACAGTTGTTTGCATTTGAACAGCAAAACAGTTATGTGACTGTTCAATCAAATGCCATTTATATACCAGGTTCTCAGAATAGAATCATTGAATACAAACACACATAGAGCATTCTACTACATCAACATGCGTAAGTTTATGCAAGGTGTAAAGACATTTGAACCTTTCATTTTGGTGGTGATAAATAGCGATGAACATCCAAAATGGCTCAGCTGGATAATTCAACTTGGTACATTAACATGGTGCTGACTGTTGCAGGATCCCAACGAAGTGCTCAGAGGGTACATCTTCCGAGGCACAGTGCTGATTGCACTCACACCACATAGCATGTCGACTCAATGCTAACACATCATGGACTATCAAATATCTGTGTTCGTTTATGCTCCATACGTTGCCACAAGAGACAACACGTGACATCAATAAGTGACCTATCATCGGGACGTTGGTCAGTCCAGCAGTCACCATTCGCTCAGTCAACTACGCTATATCTATGATTGATGCCACACTCATTACGATTGTAGTTCTAATAATACAAGACTGATTATTCATTACGGAACCTTGGAATAGCTACATAGGGATCAATATTGCGTTAGTATCACATGAAAATAACGGTTAAGGTAGTATTATTGACATTTGGCCCTCTATATATTTTATGCCAGTATACATGCAAGTAAGATGTAACTGATAGGATATGAGACTGACTGGTGTGACAAAATGTGTGCAGTAACTGAATGATGTTAAACGCCGTTGTCAGCAATATCCCAAATCGTGTCTTTTATCAGACCAACAAGGGCTTTTACCAACGTCAGAAAGTCGTATTACACGTTCAGTTCGCAGTCTAAGTTCGTTAAAAGATAACAGATTAAAACAAAACATTTCTCAACTTCTTCTGTTATTTCTTAGGACCTGAACCTGAAGCCACTAATTACCACCGTTTTCATACATCAAATCCACTGAACATAATCATACACATTGTTGAATACGAAATTAAAGGAAACTAACGAGTGAAGCACAACTTCAAACTTCAACTTCAGGTGTGGTTTATCAAGTTTCTTGGAGTCAGTTTAAGCCTATTGAGGGGAGAAATGCTGAGTTTGGAGGTATAGAAAAATATTTTGATCGTGAAATATTTTAATCTACAAGATGATTTAAATATACTCTAAAAATCCCCAAAAGCTTATACTGATTTGGTCATGTTATTTTGAGATATTACAAAAATCCTACAATGGTATTTTCCAGGATACAAGCATGTGTCCTTATGTCCTTATTCGAAATGAAACAAGTTATTCCAGCATTAAATAATCCTACTTTCTGTGACAATCTTACATCGAGATCAACCTCCTACTTAGACTGAACCATCCCCTGTCTGCATAAATATTCCCCTATGTTGGATCCATCAGTCATCCATCAGTAGACTTCTAAAGAAAACTGCCAGCATTGATACCCACTTTTCTCATCTGGCAAAACCCTCAAATCTTTATTAAAAGCCAGTGGTAAAAGGAAGCTGTGAAACTACTCCCTAACCCAAGAAAGAAGGTCTGTCTTTCAGATGCACTTCAGTCCGTTTGAGTCAGAAAACGGACAGTGATGAATTGCAAATTTTATCATTGTACAAAAATTGCCACATAAATATAAATAGTACACATGTTTATCATTTACTAATACCAAACAGCTTTCTTATATTATCATTAAAATGTTGACACAGTTCACTATTTGTTACGAGGGAGGAGTGCAGAGAAAGGGACAGCCAGGTGATAGAGAAGCACGTGCACAAGTGCCCACCAAGTTATTGAATTCATTAGACGGTGCTGTGCCGCCTCCATCCTTTCTCGCACACCTGGCTGTCCCTTTCTGCACTCCTCCCTTGTAACAAATAGTGAACTGTGTCAAAATGTTAATGATATTTTCTTAAAGAACTTTTGGTGGAGTCCGGAAAATTTTCAAATATAAGAAAGCTGTTGAAGTATTAGTAAAATGATAAACATGTGTACTATTTATATTTATGTGGCAATTTTGTACAATGATAAACATTTGTAATTCATCGGTCCGTTTCTGACTCAAACGGACTGTAGGATGTTGTGTTTTGGGGTTTGAATCAAACATGGTTCTGGTGTGTTTCAGCACCCTTGTGTTTTTCACAATGTTTCATTTCACTGAAACTCAACGAATATTCAATCACTTGCTTCTGCAAATGCCAATTAGGCACACAAAAGTTGCATTTACCTCTCAGAGTATAAATGACCTCACCACGTTTAAGTTTATATATGATAATCAAATTTTAGGGTGTTCCCATACTTTTTGTTTTGTAGTATATTTACTTGCGGCCAGTAATGTGGAAGGTCTTTACATACTAGCTTTACCTTAGTACGAGGCAAGCATTCACTGATGAAAGCCAATCTCCTTTGAAGACTCTGAAAAACAATTAGATTAAATAGTCATTTCGATTTATTTCTGATATATGGAAGCCAAATTTGTAAATTTTGTTCGATTTCTTTTTATTGAAAATTCACAAATTTGACAAATTAAATTACAAGCGAAAAAAGGATACATTATTTCTTCGTCTTTTCAACCCTCTCGGAACCGACTGTATCAACAATGTCTAATGTTGCTGAGAGTGATTCAATTTGCAAAGTAACCAAAGATATAAAAATTTTGTCCACTATCAGGTCACGTCGAACAGCCACCAGCCAGTGGTGTCTTACATTCTCAGTTGATCTGGCACTTTCAAGTTTGGCTTTGTACATCTTTTATTCAAATTGTACGGAAAGACACACTGTGTTTCTAAATATGCTTTAACGATCAAGAATGTGTTGTACTGCACTACAAAGACGTTGCGAATATTTAAAATATATAAAAACCCAAAAAACTCCGCCACTTTTAAGTCCGGAGAGAGGGGGGAGAGCCATTGGCATGGCCATGATGGGGTGGCCAAAGACACATATCGCAAGAACCTTCGGATGCTCGCGTCAGACCATCTCTAAGTTGTTCCAGCGGTACCACCAGACCGGAAGAACCTGTCACAGATCTCGGAGTGGCAGATCACGCGTCACAACAACCGGCCAAGATAGATTTATACGCATATTACATCTAGGCAATCGGTTCCTGACAGTGACGGAATCTGCAGCAATGGCATTGGGTCACCGGGTAAGCCCACACACAGTGAGGAGACGATTACATCATGTCGGTATCAGGGCCTACCGACCCTTCCGTGGGATGGTGCTGACCGCCAAACATCGCCTCGCCAGACTGCAATGGGCTTCTGCAACAAGACAATGCACGTCCCCACACATCCAGGATCACTCAAGACTTTAAGGTTGACGTCATCCTTGAGAAGGTGTTGCGAAGCATTCATTCTTGCCAGGGGAGGTCACACGAGGTATTGGTGGCGTCTCTCAAGTCCCCAGTCATAGGGTTCACCACGATATTGGCCACACTTGCTTTTGCAGGTTGTGTGAAAAACAACATTTTGTACCCCCAGTGTTTTACAGTAACGGTTAATGGTGATCTTATAAGTCCACCACCTCGATATTGTGCAAGATTGACAACACATTAATGAAATATAAATATTTGTTTACGTCAACATAACTTGAGTGTTAGTCCACCAAAGTAGGTGACAACTTACTGTGATGATATATTTCACACGATAAACAGGTTTGAGATGAGAAAACGTCTAGATTTGCAAATGACTGTGTAGCAATTTTTCTTTAATTTTGTTGAGGTGAAGCATTTGATCTATTGAGAATAATTCTTGTCTGGTACGATCTAAAATAGACTGATAATGTATCATCTTTCTGATGTTAATTTGTTTTTAATCGTTTGTGTATTTTACCATGGGGTTTCTGGGATTTGATTAACGTGTAAGTGAAAGTCATGGCATTCTGGATGAATACATTTATGGTGACAGCTCCATTAAATGCGTGTATATAGTTGGTGGAATCTCGTGATTACTGGAATCGATGTTTGAAAATGTGTGTTCAGTCTTTACTACAAATCTTATAGGTCTGTTTGATTGGCAAAGAACAATTATCTTCTACCACTAAATCTGACAGAAAATCAGCACTATCAGACTACATCATCAACTGTCCCAATCACAACATCATTTTGGAAAATGTAGAGATATTATCGAAAAACCACCAGGACTTCACCAAAAGCAAAATTGCATAAGCAGTTCAAATCCGGAGACACAAGCCCTCAATCAACAGAGACCAGGGATATCCCATCCCTTCTGCATACAATGAACTGATAAAAACAACAGATTAGAGCACTCCAGCTATCATTGCTAATTAATCACATCAGCCATGTATATTTTGTTTCTGCCTCTAGGACCATTGGCTTCCTCCTATTGTCACTACATTATTACAACCGTGCCTTGTTGTTGTTGTTTATCCCCTTGATTCATACCTACATGTTGTTATTACTTAATCCCTGTTCATGTATATAAGTCTGTTCTGTGCTGTAGTACTTCACTCTTGCTTGACAACGGTATAAGAATCCATACCGAAACGTCGCATCATATATAATAAAAAAAGTTGTTATCCATAAACAATCTTACTTTCTTACAAATCTTATAGGTGCTGTTGTCACTGAGGGCATTGCTGACTAGGCTGGTGGCCCATCCATCCTGCTCGACCATCTGAATAAACAACACCAGCGTATCCAATTCACCATGGAGACTGAGAAACTACATCAACTCCCTTTCGTAGACGTCACCATCCAGAACTCCAACAACCAGCTCATCACTTCTGTCTACCGTAAGCCAACCCATACTGACCAATACATCCAGCATCACTCCAACCACCATCCCCAGATCAAGAGAGCCATCGTTTCAACGCTTGCAAGACGTGCCAAGAACATCTGCAGTCCCTCCAATCTTCAGCAAGAATTAGCCCACCTCAAATCTACCTTCATCAATGGCTACCCGAGACTCCTAGTAGAAACCACCACCAAGAAGACGTTAGAACATCGAGATCAACCTCCTACTAAGCCTGAACCATCCCCTGTCTGCATAAATATTCCCTATGTTGGATCCATCAGTCATCACATCAGTAGACTTCTAAAGAAAACTGCCAGCATTGACACCACTTTGTCATCTGGCAAAACCCTCAAATCTTTTATTAAAGCCAATGGTAAAGGAAGCTGTGAAACTATCCCTAACCCAAGAAGGAAGGTCTGTCTTCCACATGCACTAGGCTGTTGTGTTTGGGGGTTTGAATCAAACATGGTTCTGGTGTGTTTCAGCACCCTTGTTTTTCACAATGTTTCATTTCGCTCAAACTCAACGAATACTGAATCACTTGCTTCAATGCCAATTACGCACACAAAAGTTGCATTTACTTTAGAGTATAAATGACCTCACCAAGTTTATATATGACAATCAAATTTTAAGGGGGTTCCCATACTTTTTGTTTGTAGTATATTTAATTGCGGCCAGTAATGTGGAAGGCCTTTACATACTAGCTTTACCCAGTACGAGGCAAGCATTCACTGATGAAAGCCAATCTCCTTTAAAGACTCTGAAAAGACAATTAGATTAAATAGTCATTTCGATTTAATTCTGATATATGAAGCAAATTTGTAAATTTTGTTCGATTTCTTTATTGAAAATTAACAAACTTGACAAATTAAATTACAAGTGAAGAAAATGATACATAATTTCTTCGTCTTTTCAACCCTCTCGGAACCGACTGTATCAACAATGTCTAATGTTGCTGAGAGTGATTCAATTTGCAAAGTAACCAAAGATAAAAAGTTTTGTCCACTATCAGGTCACGTCGAACAGCCACCAGCCAGTGATGTCTTACATTTCCCAGTTGATCTGGCACTTTAAAGTTTGGCTTTGTACATTCTATTCAAATTGTACGGAAAGCCACACTGTGTTTCTAAATATGCTTTACGATCAAGAATGTGTTGTACTGCACTACAAAGACGTTGTGTGTTGATTAAAGTAGAGAAACTGAAAGAATTAGACGGAAGGTATTTATGAGATGATAAGAGAGGGGTCAGTAGCATCTGTTCAATGCGAACCAATAACAAAAGTATTTCTCTTAGATTAATCGATACAGAAGTGGTTAAAAACAATATCTATTGAAGTAGGAATTAAGACAATGAAAAGAAAGTTCGTTTTTGTGAAAAGTCAAGAGGCAGTAACTGAAACAGGAAAATCCCTGGACGAGTTGGGAAGGATGCTTGTCTTTGAAAATATGGAGACTTTTTCTTTTTATAATTGAGATTGATGACGCAGTACCTAAGGGAGTACAACAAAGAAACCAAAATTTTGGTACATCCTCTCGAGCTGCTTGGAAAAAAAATATTTCAAATCTATTTTCTTTCAAAGGGTGGCCATCGCAAGATTTAAGAGTTATTGCATTTTGCATTCACCAACAAACTAACAACGGTGTGTGAAAGTTCCTACTGTAGTGGTCGGTGAGATTTAATTTACGTCTGTCTTGTAAGACCGCGAGAGTAACTTAATGACACATAATGGATATTAATAGAGATATTTTCAAGTAAGAAAGCTACCACCCCCATTATATGACCGGTGAAATTATATGAGGGTGATCCTCAGACGAGTGAGTGAGTTAAAATTTATCGTCACATCGGCAATATTTCAGCTATATCGTGACGAGAACAATAAATGCTATACATAGTAATTAATGGTAAATTGTAAAAACCTGTCAACGAAGGACAGTAAAATAACTAGGTTACCACAGATTCGAATTTAAAACTAGTAACTAGATCTAAAACCGTTTAACTATAAATGACAATACAATATAAAACACAGGCTATATATTGCCAACAACTGAAGGTAGATCACCATACTAGGGGCCATGGGTACTTACAGTACATTTGCTTCCTGCATGGACCCTAGCTGGATTTACACCATCCATTCAGCCGTTAGCAATTTAGGAAATCTAGCCATACATTAAAAAGACACGTATTCTACGATTAAAAACGTGGAAAGTGTTAACTTACTTTGAATGTATTGGGACTTACGTATCCTCTCAGGAGGACAATACTTTTACAGTACTTTAACCCCCTTTGAGGATACAGCCACTAACAATCGAAGTTACTAATATAAACTTCCAAACATAAAATATTTATCTATTTACAAATCATTCAACAAATCTAATTATTATTTAAAAAATGCAATAATTAAATGAGAACTTATATTAGTAAAAGATCCTTCATTGTTCGTGATTTGAAATAGTTATCCCTTGTGATGGAGAATTCAACACAGTCAAGCAGGACATGCTTGACCGTGATTCTCTCATCACAAGGGATACAAAACGGAGGATCTTCGCCCTTCAATAAATATTCGCGAGTTTATCTAGTATGGCCAATGCGACATCGTCGCATAATGACCTCTTCAAATCTGGACTGACAACCCAAGTAGGTGTAACCGATATAGGGTGTTATTGCATGTAATTTATTGATACCTACTTGGGTGTCCCACTTCTTCTGCATCAGATCACGGATGTAAGTTCTAATGCTAGCTTTATAATCAGAGTATGGGATATAAAGTGGTGTCACAGATTTGTTGAGTGCTGCTTTAGCAGCAAAATCGGCCATTGTGTTCCCAGAAATACCAACATGGCTGGGCAACCAACAAAAGACGATGTCGCATTGGCCAGTAGCAAGATCATTATACAATTCAATAATTTCAATTAAAAGTGGATGTTTACAAGAAAGAGTTTTAATGGCCTGAAGGCATGAAAGAGAATCGGAAAAGATTATGTATTGTTTATATTTACGGTGTTTATTAATATATTTAAGAGCTGTTAATATGACGTTAGCTTCTGCTGTGAAAATAGAGCTGTTATTGGGCAATCGAGAAGATATTGTTTTGGATCCAGTGACAGTGGCACAAGCAACTGCGCCACCATCCATGGACCAATCTGTAAATAAGGATTTGTATGTACTATATTTACTTTTTAATTGATTATATTCTTGTTTATATTGTAATTCATTTGTTTCCGATTTTTTAAATGTTGTCAGTGTTAGGTCAACTTCTGGTCTAAATAACTGCCAAGGAGGAGAAGTAAGCAGACGGGAAGGAGATATATTTTCTAGCTCAATGCCAGCAGCAGAAAGGAAAGGTTTGACTCTTAATCCCAGAGGCGGAAGCAGAGAAGACTTTTTATTGTATAGATCCTTATAAAGAGGATTAAAAAACAGGATTTGACACATTAGAATATAGTTTTGTTATATACTGCAAGGATAAATTTATACGTCGTTGGTTAAAGGGATGGCTCATTGGCCTCAACGTAGAGACTGTCAACAGGAGAGGTTCTAAAGGACCCAAGACAAAGTCTTAGATCTTGCTGGTGGACAGAATCTAATAGTTTTAGGTTGCTGTTGTAGACTCCACCATTGACGATGGAGCCATAATCAACTTTGGAACGGACAAGTGATCGATATAGATGGAGGAGGGTAGCTTGATCCCCTCCCCATTTAGAATTTGAAACCACTTTCAACAAGTCAAGTGCCTTCAGGCATTTAGTTTTAAGGGATTTAATATGTGGCAGAAATGTTAAGTGTGAGTCAAAATTAGACCCAAGAACTTGGCCTCCTTGACAACTTGGATGGGCGTGCCATCTAGAGATAGTTCAGGGTCTTTATGTGGTTTGTATTTACGGCAGAATGTATGCAATTAGTTTTCGATTTAGAAAATTTAAAGCCATTTTCAAGACACAATTTATTCATCTTGTTTAAACGCAACTGCAGTTGCCGTTCAATAGTATGCATATTTTCACCACGACAGGAAATATTTAAATCATCCACAAATAACGATTCATCTATTGAATCGTATAAAACTATTTATCTTTATACTAAATAGTGTGACAGACAAAATACTGCCCTGTGGAACACCCTGATCCTGATTGTAATGATCAGACAGGGTAGAACCCACGCGGACTTGAAATTGTCTGTCATTGAAAAGGTTGGCTATACATTGAGGCAAACGGCCTCGCAATCCGAAGCCATGTAAATCTCTTAAAATGCCATATTTCCACGTTGTGTCATATGCCTTTTCAAGATAAAAAAGATAGACACAGCGTGTTGTTTATTAATTACAGCGTTTTTAACAAATGATTCCAAACGCACTAAGTGATCGACAGTACTTCTGTTTTTACGGAAACCACATTGTATATCTGTTATAAGGTTATTTGTTTCCAAGTACCAAACAAGTAGATTATTTATCATTCGTTCCATGGTTTTGCAAACACAGCTAGTTAGTGAAATAGGTCGATAATTTGACGGATCCGTATGATCACGTCCAGGTTTTGGTATTGGTACTACTATAGCGTCACGCCATGAGGGAGGAAATTTACCTGATGTCCAAATATCATCAAAAATATTTAAAAGAGTTTCTAGACAGGATTCTGGTAAGTGTTTCAGGAGTTGATAATGTATGTTATCAGCTCCTGTAGCAGTATCGTGAGCTTGTTCAAGAGCAGCATGGATCTCATGAATAGAAAATAGTTCATTATAGTCTTCCCCATTATCTGAATTGAAATGAATAGGTTTCTTTTCTTGTTGTTTTTGATATTATTGGAGGAGGAAGAATTTTTAGCAAGAGCTTCACCCAGCTTATTCGCAATATCTGATTTATCAGTAAGTAATTGATCTCCATGTTTAAGATGATGTACACTAGATTTAGTACCTTTACCTTTAATTTTTTCTGTACCATGTTCCACACTTTAGACATGGGCGTTCGAGAATGTATTTTGGATACATAATTTTTCCAAGATTGGCGTTTATTCTGTTTAAAAGTACGCCGCGCTTTAGCATTTAACATTTTAAATTTATTTAAATTATGCACCATAGGATGGCGACGGAAATAATGTTCTGCCTTCCTAGCTTGTTTGCAATCATCGTTGAACCATGGTTTTCGAATATGTGGAATTGCAGAGGATTGTGGTATACACTCATCAGCTATGGCATTCAGCTCATCAGAAAAACAGTTGATAGCATCAGGAACGTCAATAAAAAGTTCAGGTTTAAGTTTTGTAGCACACAGTGTTTCATATAAAGCCCAGTTAGCCTTTTTAAAATTCCGCCTTGATGATGGAGGTACATCAGATAGAGTTACAGGTTTTAGTATAGTAGGAAAATGGTCACTTCCACAGAGGTCATCGTGGACTGACCATTCAAATTCATTTAGTAGTTCTGAATTTGTGACTGACAAGTCGAGAGCAGAATAGGTTCCTGTACCAGGATGTAAATATGTGTTGGAACTATCATTAGAAATACATAAATCATTATCTGAACAAAAATCCTCCAGTAATTTACCTTTAGCGTTTGTATTTGCACTACCCCAGGGTGGGTTGTGCCCATTTAAATCTCCCATAATAATACAGGGCTTCGGGAGTTGGTCATATAGATCTTGAAGATCGGTTTTGTGAAACGTTGAAGACGGAGATATATATAGAGAGCATAATGTAAATGCAACGTGCAAAGTTAGTCGCACTGCAACAGCCTGAAGATTAGTAGTAAGTGCAACAGGGCTATGGATAACGTTCTGTTTGACTAGGATGGAAGATCTTCCAGTGGCCCTGTCACCCGGAGGTGAAAAACAATGATATGCATTGAAAGAACGCAGGACAAAAGCATCTGTCTGTTTTAAATAGGTCTCCTGCAGACAGAACGCTGATGGTGTTAAATCCTGGACTAAAAGTTGTAATTCGTTGAAATTAGTCCTTAAGCCTCTGCAATTCCACTTTATTATATGATTATGATAAACTATCTTTTGGGAGGATTTATCGGGGATCTTCCCCGTACTTTTTTGGTGGGCGACAAGCTATGTGCCCTAGAACGGACGTTTTCAGACACGTCCATGTCCTCAAGGGATCCATATTTGTTGTATAATTTGACTTGATTTTCTGACCCTTTTGGGGCTCTGCCACTGAGTTTTTTCAAAGAATCTGACTTCTTACTTTTGCTTTTAAGGTGCTCTGCAGATTTTGAGTTCGACTGAGATGATGAGTCAAGATCAGAGGACGTGTCACATTGGCTTTTAGACGTACTAGGAAGTGATTTCGGTGTTTGGGTTGATATTGCAGGTGAGGATATCAGAGGAGATTCCGTTTTAACCCAGGTCAGGTTTGTCTGACAACATGCAGATGACTTTGTGACTCTAGTGTTTGTTTCTTACAGAGGTCTGGTTACAGAAGCATAGCTTTCTTTATGTTCTGAGCTTTGCACTAGTTTTTGGCATCTGCAAAACTGATGTTTTGGGTGAAGTTTAGTTTTATTTATCTCCATTTGATGTTTCCAAACAGGGCAGTTTTTAGAATAAGATGGATGATCCCCTGCACAATTAGTACATTTTTTGACATTACTGTCACAATCTTCTGTTGTATGTGTCTTTTCACCACAGTGAGCACATACAACAGACAATGTGCAAGTATTTACGCCATGACCGAACTTTTGGCATTCGAAGCACCTAAGAGGGTTCGGAATGTACGTGTCAACATTGATGTTACAATATCCTGCCTTTAGAGATTTTGGAGCATTTGGTAGAGAAAAGGAAAACAGGTAAGTATTTGTTTTTATAAGAGCATCGTTTTTCCTGGTTGTGAAACGTTTGACATAGAGTACGCCTTGATCTTTCATCTCAGAGACGATGTCAAGTTCCGACATATCTGCAAACAGTCGATCACGGTCTCTGACGATTCCCTTGCTCGTGTTTAATGTTTTATGAGCTGTGACCGTGACCGGAACGCCGACAAATGATTCTGTACTCATAAGGTTGGTGGCTTGTTGCCTTTTCCCACACTCAACCAACAGAGCACCGGAACGTAAACGTTTAATATTCTTGACATCACCGGCAATGCCCTGTATACCCTTAGATATGGCAAAAAGGTTCAACTTTAATGGAGTCTTGTCAACAGTTTCAATTACAAGAAATCGTGGCCAGTATTCAATGGATGTGGACAGTCTTTGATCATTATCAACTGGATCAGTGTCGAGTGGACGTTTGGTTTTGAAGGGGGTTTCGTAAGCCATAGTTAATTTTTCATGGTTCGTCATCCGAGCTCCCCACCCACCACGGAGTATCACAAGGACAATGTTAAACACAAGCGGATCTCCGACTTGCAGCACCAAGGATACCCGGATGATATACTCCAGCAGAAAAATTAAAAGATTAATGATTCCACCAGATTGGCCCATGAGCCACCGCCTTCTGGGCATAGGACTCTGGGCATATTTAACATTTGTTGAAATTTTAAATCAATACATATTCAGTGAAACAATTTTACCAATGCCCAAAACAGGATCATTTACAAAAGTCAAATTTGTGCAATATCAAATACAATGCACAGGGCATGACATGACCAGCCGATTGGTTGAACCGGGCCAGTTCAACCACCCGTCTAGGTGAAGTAAGGGGCAAAGTGGTGTGTTGGGCAAAGGAACGCTGTTCCTGGAACCAGTGCCCTCAACCACCAGACTCCCGTCCTCCACCGACACAGGGGCGCAACCCACGGCAAACAGGTTGGTGGACCAAATATACCCCCGGGTCCACACGGGGGGCTGAAGAGCTCTTAGCGTGACCCAGCACCCAGCACGAGGAGATGGCTCTTCACGGGTGCTCCTAAAAATCAGAGATAAAACCAGGTGTCCTAAAAGGGTGATCATGTTTTGCCCTCCCGGTAGCATCCGCCAAACAATTTGAATAGCAAACGTGTCTGTTGCCTGACACCGCGCAAAAGTACACACAGAAGGCCAATGTGTGGAATGGCCAATATCGATCTGACAAATTAGACAGACGTGCGACTAATACTGAGTGCATATCAATGCATGAACTTGTCAGTGGAGGGGTGATCATTGTGTGTTTTGACACTTATAATTAGAAATTAATCTTTATTGGTTGGCAGATATAATTCATCTGTTATCTCATCTACATCCTCCCAGACAAACGTACGTCAGCAGTGATTCCACTCAGTTGTATTGGGACCATGGATGGTCTCTGTGTTGTGTGACGGCCGGTCTCAGCCCACGCTTTCAACAGTATTTCAGTTATATCACGGCATGTCAGCTTAATGTAAGAGGAAAGGCAGACATTGACCACTTTGGTGAAACCCACGCCCACGGAGATGATTCTGATTGGATGTCTGAACGTTCTGGTGTCAGTCTGACTGGATATTTGTTTTCGAGGTGTTATCGCACATGATAGAGTTGATATTAATGACACATGCACATGCCTTTAAATAAAATGATTGTACACAGAGAAAAGTGTCACGCGTGGTATGTTTTTTATTTACGTTGGAAAACCAATCGGATACTTTCAAATTTCTTTTGTAACAATATTTCTGTTATAGGATGGTATACCCCTTCACCACATTCACAGCGTTAGAGCCCATCATGACTTTGGTCAATGCTGAAGCAGACTGATGAGATAGACAACACA